TTTTTTTGTGTATATTAGATATGCGTTATCAGTTTGCTATAATCAAATACTTTGACTACACAATATAAACAAAATAAATTGACAAGGAAGCAATTTATCAAATTTCAGTTGAGGTCTTTCAATGATTAGTTTCAAGAATATCATCAGCTGTTTTATAGTAACAGCCTGTTTTCATCAATAATTCAATCAAATCAATTTTTGCATTTAAAATTGGTGAGTTCTACCCAATAAGTAGGGAAGGTAGGAGATCTGGGAACCATGTGTTAATTCAGAAAAGCTAATAGTTGCATTGCACTTGTGACTACCACAACACATCCATCAGAACATGCTTTAACTATCACAGCTTCTATGCATCAGACATAGACTGGGTTCCCATACCTAGATCAATCTGACAGGATCAATCCATCTCTGAGGGGTTTCTCGCTAAATTGCTTTCAGCTTAAGCGGCTTAGATGTCTGACATTCCTACTAAACCTGCTTAACAAAAAGAAATACCCACTAGCAGCTTCAGTAGGTTTGTCAGACATCTAAGCCGCTCAGGTTGATTGCAATTCAGTAAGATTCCCCTCAGAGATAGATTGACCCACAGTTAGTACGATAGGGTCTGAGATTGGTCCCATAGAGTAATTAGCCAGCTACATGAACTTTGTCTTACCGTGAGAGTCCACTTCTCCCTGCAACTGATAGATGGCGCTGTCATCTGGCATGGCATGAGGAGCTGGAGGTCTGGGCATCGAGGGCAATGGAGGCAAGACCCTGGTACCTGGATAAAACGTGATAGAAAATAATGGACACATACAGACTGATGTAGAAGTCTAGAAGTGTTGAAAATTCATTATTTGTAGAGAAATTTGTGATACAGACAATTTGAGAAATTTGTGATACAGAACTACAGATTTGATTAATTCTGTGAAATATGGCTGAAGTGTAAAACATTTAATAGTTTCATAGTTTTGTAAATGACTTTCAACTATTATCAAAATAAATAAATTAAATATTATGACAAATGATGCCTTTTAACAAATCCATATTGTAAAAGTTTCATCCCTTCAATGCTGAAAATAAATTTAGATCCTAAATACCTACCCATAAAAGGCTTATTGACAGCACTGGGCCTTGGCCCTGGCGGCAGCGGAGCAGGTCTGATAGGTTGCCTAGCAACAGGAGCAGGTGCTGGGCTGTCATTGGTTGGTAAATCTGTGTAAACATTTTCTACACTTAAGCTTTCTCTTCCACCTGTTGCTTGACTTGTTGTAGGTGGGGCTACATCACAGTACACATTCCCATTGTTCACACTTTCTCTCACGCTGGGATTCTGATTTTGACTGTCGTCAAAGAAATTCTCATCATGGTAGATCCCCACGTCTTCCGTTAATGGCCGACTTTGAAGTGAGCCCCTTTTCCAGGCATCGGCATCCGCATTTGATGGTAATGGTTGACTTGAAGCAGTAGTCTCAAAGTTGGCCTCTAGATCAGTATTGAATACGTCTAAATCTTTATGTGGACGACTCCGAGGTACGGGTTTGGGTTTATTGTTGAATGCATCAAAGTCAGCAAAGTTTGCTTCAAAGGTTTGATTTGATGTTTCAAAAGCTGGTAGCAGTGGAGCCTGAAAGGTGGGTGGTTTGTCTGTGGGGGGTAAAGATGGAGCTGGAAAATCTGGTGGCCCAGCTCGTGGTGGGATAGGGGGAGCCACCATAGTTGGAAGAGGTGGAGGAGAAAAACTCGGTGGCGGACATGTGAAGGAGAGGGTGGAGTCTCTTGACCCTGGGGGTGTCTCCAGATTCAAAGCCTGTGGGAGCTGGTTACTTCCAGAGAGGATATCTTTATGTGGATCCAATGGTGAGTCCATTGACATCAAGTCCCCAGCAGAACTTTTGTTCTTACTTAAAACCATCCCAGACAACCTATTGCTTGGCCATATTGCTTCATAGTTTGATGTCTGTGTGGCTGACTTGTCTTGGCTTTTAGGGGGATTTATTTGTGTGGATGAACTGATGGGAACATCAAGACAATTAGACTTGACAGCAAGGGGACTCAATTCCTTCTTTTCTGAAGAGACACGTCTGAATGGATCAAACATGTCTGTGATGTCAGCATCAGGAGGTTTGGTCATTGGTTTGGATTTATTTGACGCAGCCCTGACCAGGCGAGGGGAGGGGGGCACTTGGTCTAACAGCTCAGGGCCTGTAAGAGCACCCAGTTTGGTAGGGGAGCTTTCGTCATCGGAAGGAATTAGAGCATCTAAGTCTTCCAATCTGGCGCGTAAGCTTTCGATACCTACTGAGCCTCGGATTGCACTACTAGACCCAAAACTTGAATTGCTTTTGCGGTTTTCAGTTTCGAGAAAATCACTAAGGGCACTGATGTCTGGGCCAATCTGTGTGTTCTGATAGATCTCGTCTGACACTCGTGGTGTTGTTGTGCTGTCAGAATGTCTGTCATTGCCATTATTTTGTACACAAGTGGTGTTTGCCATATTGGCAGCAGGCACAACATCTGTCTTATTGTGTATTGGTAGAATGTCGGCCATATTGTTCTGTACCTTGGTCTCCTGTCCAGCAGGAGTGCTTGCACTGCTATCAAAAGATTTATAGGGTCGTGGTCGCGGCCTAGGCTTGGGCTTTGGTGGCTCGCTCAATTTACGCTCCCCTAGTGCTGATGTCCCAAAATTGACAGTGGTGCCCTCAAGTGGAGATTCTGTCAAGCCACCAGAGGGCATCTGTGTCTTAACATTTTGTGTGTTTGCATAAACTGATCCTACAGCATCTTCTGACTTGGTTAAAGCCTCATCATCTTCAGGCACTGTCTCTTTTGGAGACTGCACCTCATCTGAGAGAAAACTTTTCTTAGAGCTGCCACTGCTTTTTCTAGACGAGGCCCTGTGTCGCGGCTGGGGTACAGGTCTCGAAACCACCTTGGGTGCAGTCAAAGGATCCTCGACAAAACTTCTTTTCTTTGGTGGCAGGATAGGTGGCGCCTCAGTCTCAGGCACATTAGAATACACAGCCTCCGTCTCGTGTCCTTCCACGTCACCTGACACCTGGGACAGATTAACATACTCCCGAGGTAAGTGGCTCAGAATCCTCTTCCTGTGCCCTGGAAGCTGTATTCCTATGTTCTGCAGCGTGATGTCATCAAGGTTGTGACACAAGGATATTTCCGTGAAGCCAGCTGCTTTTAGTGTGGAGACATAATTTTCCAGATTGAGAGTCTTCAGCCAGGCTTCTACTGACGCCATTATGAAAGGATTACCTGGAAATAGTAAATAAATCATAAATATCACTGCTGTTCACCACATAGGATTACCAGGAAATAGAAAGATAATACATTAACATCCCAGGATGAGTGCCTTTACCCTGCCTTCAATTGACAACATTATAATAGGATTACCTGGAAATACTTAATAAATAAATATCACTATTCTGCACCACATAGGATTACCAGGAAATAGAAAGCTAATAGATTAATATTCCAGGTTGAGAGCCATTAGCCAGCATTAAACTGATGCCATTTAATGGGATTACCTGGAAAAAGAAACTTAATAAACTAATAAATTATTATATTATTACAGTTCTGTACACAGGACCAACAGAATTGGGTACACTAAAAATAACACATATATAACATTTGCCTTTTAGTGAGAGATTATATAGATCAACAGTAAAGCAGCTGCTTCTGTTTTCTAATTTCCTGAATAGCAGCACAGTTTCAAAACAGCTACAGATAAAATTTATTGTAAGGAAATTAACTTCTGGTTATAAAAAATCTATGTCTACCCACTGCCTTGACATTTTAAAAGGAACCTGTAACTTATTTACTTACACTGGCCGTGCCTTTCTATTTAGGTCCACTTTAGCAAAATTGACCAAGTCAAAAATAAATTAAAAGAATATCATGTACTAGTAGTTTCTTTAGCCAAAGGAAATCATACAAGTTGTGTGTTTAATGAAGTCCACACTCTAGAAAGAGCTTCGTGGTAACAACAAATCTGTCCTCAGAGGAAATCTAGATCCAAAGTAAGTGACATACCTGAGTAAAATTATGTGCTGATCAACTGTCGCATTATCATAAAGCTTCTGGACAAATTATTTGTATGTGTACATGTTTATAGTACAATCACATCATAGCATTAATATACAGATGAACTGCCAAAAGCACATGTTATACAAAAATAGGGTCCAGAACTTTGGCCCTGTGTTATGACTTACAATAAACTACATGCTGAGGTGAGAAAAATGTTAGTCAAAAATCAAGAAGTGAGGTTAAAAGACACGACTAACAAGTAAAGGGACTGACCCACTGTAGCAATATTATATGTAAACTAGCTCTGAAACAAACAGGATAAAAAATGTCACACTTAAGTGTTGATCTCCTTACAATAAAGATAGATGCTGTCATTTATGTCATGGTTACCAGAATAATGTCAGCTCCCTTTCAGCTTATTTTCTCTGTCTCAAAAACAGTATTTGATTAAGGGGTAAACAGTGTAGTAATATGTTACTTTGATCTCACATCAAATATCTAATGTTTCACACTGGCTATTGGCATCAGTCATAAAAGTGTGTGTATTAATTTGTAATTAAATGACACATTACTATTATTAACAGAAGTCACATGCTTACTTCAAGTATCATTTCCCACTTTTGCTAATATTTACCTGAAGAACCTAGCAAATCATTGAGCTGCCTTAAAATGGGCGCATTCACATGCAGCGCAATCAGACCACTCTGTCTGCCAGGGAATAATAATTATTTTTGGCAATCAAATCTTTAAATAGTCAGGGTCCAAAAGTTGGCTAGTGTTATATAAGATTATAACTTCCTCACTAGTCAGGTGCCTTACATGGGTTATTTCCTTGGGTTAGCACCTATTAGCATAGATTAATTTCTGCCTACAATCACCTGTTCAGGTCACACCTAGAAGTCTGTGTTATTTTCTAATTATCTAATTCATTCTGTGCTAATGTTTATGCATTTAACTCAGGCCTCAAATAACAGGTGGGTGAAATAGGACTCACTACTTCCTTGTGTTACCTTCAAAGAGAATTCTACTTACAAATAGCCAAAGATACTGTTGAGAATTATTCACTGTAACACACGCAATTGTTTACAGATGTATACCATCAAAAATAACATAAACATTGAGCTGCTTCATAATATTTCACTGTACCCCCCCCCCCCCCCCCAACACACACACTGCAACAACACTCTTGTAAGATAAACTTGACTTCCTTGTGATGTTAGGGACTAGGGTTAACACAGTATATCTTAAACCTAGGGCAGCTTGCATGGCCCAAGTTAAAACTTTTAAAGACATAACATAAAGTGCGACAGCCCTTAGTCAGGAGAAAATCTGTCCAGCAAATCCTTATAATATGTATCCACTGCTGTCACCTTTGACACTGTCCAATGTTCAAAAGACTTCCTTCCGCACATGCTGTGACATTCTCTTCATATCAGACAGGCACTGGAGAACTAGGTCAAGTAGTCCTTTACATAGGTATAGAATAGAACATGCCATGTGAGGTTATCCCCTTGAAGAGTAGCTTATATATGTATAAACTTCTCCTTAGGGTCCTGCTTTGAGATATATACTGTATTGACTCAACACTTCTACCAAAATCAACTGATTAAAATTTACAAAAAAAAGTTTTTTTATTGAAAAAATTGATTAAAAAAAACCGACCGGTAAGTACTCTATAAATCCTGAATTAACGTTATGTTTAATAATATGCAGATGTTAAAATTTTTTGCACAATCACTGTTTTTTTTTTTTAGAAGAAATTACATCATTTTCAGTAAATCAATAATTAATCAACAAAAAGTAGTCAAATACTTCTAATTTACCTAAAATTACCATCTACTCATAAGCTAGTTTCAAGCTTATATGTTATATAAGTTATCTACTAACTAGGGTGTCAGAAGAATTCACATTCATGGCTGGGGCAAAGAAAACTTTCAAATCTTATAAATTTATAAGTACTAGTAATCCTCTATTGTAAAACTAACTGGATTTTTTGCTATCTGGCTTTTTGCTATCAAAATTGAACAGTGCCGCAGGTCAATTAAGTAATGTTGGTAATTATAGTCCTGCATCCGTGTGCAAAGTACTGTCACATGAGTCATGTCGTCTTTCTGTCATAATGATAACAAAGCTTTTCTCTCACCCTAATATCTTACAGTTATAGGTAAGAGTGGATAAAAGCTAAATGTGCTAATGCCTAACCCTACTTCTTATCTTTTCACATGACCTATTTGCTTAGGGTTGAGTATTTCCTATGGTATTATAAAAGAAACAAAAGATCAACAAAAATCACTCTGGCATTTCCTGTATGACCAAGTTTCACTTTCACTTTAGTGGTTGTGTTTAATTATATCAAGGAGTTATAACTCCTTGATTATATGCAGGTTAAATACAGACAATTTTAAGTGATGCACTACCTGAATATTAAATAAATAAATAAATAAATAAATAAATAAATAAATAAAAGAAACATCAGGAAAAAAGTGACCCCACAAATTAACAAGGTGTTACAATCCCCTTTCTTTTTTGCTGTTTCTGAATAATATAAATGCTTGACATGAGAACAAAACTTCGTAAAAAAAAAAAAAAAAAAAACTTTCTACCAAAGCTATTAAGGTGAACATGGATACCTATATGTTCAAAATTGTAATTACAAAGTATACTATCTTATATCAAAAAATACATTTTAAGATGGTCCACAGAGATACAGTTGATGCTTTTAAAGAGACTTACAATAAGAAGTACACTTATACATGCAAAAACCAGTAAGTAATTAAATGGTGCCTAATTATAAGATGACAGATATCATCACTACCAAGCTCTTCATAATTTACCACATACACCTAGACATTTATATGCAACACAGACAGCACTTATATAATGTACCGTAAGTACTCTGACCAGTTTTATGAAAAGCAAGAACAATTCCAAAATGATGAATTAAAAATCTATCATTTTTCGTCCAGGACCTCAGTAGGTAAAGGAAATAAGTGAGTGCCAAATTTATACATTTCTAACGTATGGAATTCTCACATATCTCTGTTCTCAATTTGGCCAATTTCTGAAGTTAGCTGAAACAAGGTGTAATACCCACTCCCAGCATATCTGATTACTGCCCATTCTCATAATACAGGAATATGTTCATCTTAAAAAAATCTAATGTCCACATAAAGGTGCCACAGGGATTCAGGTATAGTGTGCCTAATTAGTAAGCTTTTTATTTAATCTTCATCTCAGCTCTACATTATATGCAAATGATTCTTTAAACATACCTTAAATAATATAATTACTGTCCATTCTGCTATTGCATGAATATTCTTTCACACTTACATTATAGTTACGGACGCCCAAGCGTAGTGATCTATACAAACTAATACCATGTCCTTTAACTCTTCCAAATGTTGTAGAGATTGAAATTATCAACCACTGAAACTGTACCTCGTGTATCCTAATTCAAGATAACAGTAGACAATGCTACGATTGATTGAAGAGGAAGATAGCACTCACTGTTACAGATATCTGGAAGACTTCATGGTATCAACAATAGCTCATTACAATATTGAACAATGTTAATATACCAGCATTAACTCACCCTCTTAAATATACTATTGTTTCATACTTGTTAGTACAATGTATTAACCATAAGTTTCAAATGGAGAAAATTACCAAAATCAAATTTTGAGTAATTCAGCCAAGAGTTTTCTGGCAAATCACAAATCATTGTGAGACCTGTACCTTACCTAAAAATAAATGATTTTATGTCATTCCTAATTAAATAATTTAGTTCTAAATGACAGACCTGTCATTTGAACTGCCACGTCTTCCTGTATGTTTTAGAAGGAACTATCGAGGTTTTAATTAAGAGGCCTTATCAATTTAAGGTCAAATTAGTCAAGATAGTAATTTTTTCGGGACACGCAGACAGAAAATATGACTGAAGGAAACTTTCAAATGTGTTATGTCCTCAACTGACATTATTTAACTTAATGAAACTTAATGAAAAAATAAACTTATGTTAATTTGTCCTGACTTATCACTAAACACTACTGGTATGCACCAAACTTGCTAGTGGTAATCTGATATAATCTTCAAAAAACTTTGTTGATTTGGTCTGTTAAAACAGTGTTTGTCCTGGGGTGACACTGGTATCATGTACTGTTATGTAAACAACAGACAAACGAGTGTCTTTAGTGGGCTAATATAGGACTACAATATAAACAAACGGACACTTTAGTAGGCTAAATATTAGGGAAACAAAGAGCAGCAACTCTGTTTTTTCTCAATATGTCCCAACTAGCAGTGGTCCAGTATTAACCACGCTTGGTCTGAGTTATAAATGGGACATCTCTTATATGAATCAAGTACGTAAGAAAGTTTAATGCTCCATACTATATTTATTCTGAGTTAATAACTAAGGAAGTCGATCGAGCCTGTCGTTTAAAAATCACACTGGTTAAATCAGGATGACTAAGCGGGGCATATTGACTTAACACATGTTAGAAGCGCAGATAATTGCTAAAAAATAAAATCAACAAATGCACTTATATACCCTCCACAGCGGTAGATACATGACATGCAAACTGCTGTGAGAGTAAAAACATCTCATTAGGCAATGCTATTACATGTAGTACAGTGTACGATCGAATGAATCATGCTTCATTCAACAAATCTCCATATCAGTAGCTCGCGTATTTTGCTGGCCTCCAATTATTGCCAAAGATTTGATTAATGAAAAATTTTATAGCTGGTAAGTATGCCTTAATCTGAATACTTACTTTGTATGAAAGTAGCAGTTTAGTCCAACTTTTGAAGATAATCTACGGAAAAGTTTGCCGTCTTTATAACTTCCTCATTTTCCGCCATCTTGTGTACATATGGAAAGGTCACTTCCTGTTTGAGGTCAATGGGCGTGGCATAAATTAAGAACTATGACTGGATCAGAAGTTGGTGGCGTAATACGTTTTTAATACATTGTAATATATAACAGATAATGTGGAAGAAAACAGAATGATTTCATGATGATACTTTGATACAAAATTGAATAAAAACACTAATATCTTAGTCTTTCAGCAAGAAGTTATATATATTTTCATTTCAATAAAATTTAAATTTAAATTGAATATATGGGCTGACTGACATTTTTCTCAAAATTATTAACAGTAATTAAGTCAACTACCATGCTGCAGTCTTTTGAGCTTTTATTGAATATAACTTTGTACAAAAATTGTTATTTAATATCTTCATCAGAACATGTTAAACAGAATAAATCAGAATATTGCATCATTAATTAAGATGCAATGATGAAATCACAAATTTCTCAATGACTAGAATAGAATAATTAAGAACAAAAGAGAAATTAAGCATATTAGTTGTAAACTAAATAAAGACATTAAGCAGTTGTATGTACATCTAAAGTGCTAAAAAAGTACCACATTTATATGCAGTTTTTTTTTCTTTTGCTAACAGCTGAGGACTATACAGTATATGCAGGTCTTTATAAATAAACTGTATATGGTATTAATATTATCTCATAATGAAATACAGAAGGCCTGTACTTCACATGAATAGCTCTTATAGAAAGTGTCAATCTTTGTCTTTTGAAATCAGTCATATACAGTATATCAAATAATATTTAAACATCATATATCAAAGTCAAATTCATTGTCAAAAACATTTTAAATTGTTTCTATGCACTTTTAAAATGAAACTTGGTTAAACAACAAAAACATCTAAAAAAAAAGAATGAAAAATATCAAATAAATACCCTTTGGTACAAAGAGAAAGTTTGAGTAGATGGTATTTAAAGAGAGCATGAAAACAGTACAAGTTGTCAAAAAAGTCTACCTTGGAAACCCTTTTTCTACTCCAAACTTTTTAATATCAACAGTTTCAAAAACCCCATGGTAACCATTCTAAATCTTAGTACCATGTAAAATACTGTGACTTCACTTTTTTTAGACCTAAAATTTGCGTATTACCAATAAATAATAAAGCACCAAATGTATGATGACACGGTGTAAAATATGAATCTGGTAGCAGCATTTTTATTACAAGTTCATATCATAAAGATGTCCTCATTTTTTGCTTCTTTATTAGGTCTTTGTGGTCCTCTGTCACCCTAAATAGCATTTACCAGTTCCATAATGGAGCCGGGATTGTAGTCGTGGGTGGCATTTTAGGATTGGGCCAATCAGGAAGGCTGTGAGGAGCGAGAGTTGGTGGCCAATCAGGATGCATTAAAAAGTCACCTCTTGTTGGTTTGTAGCGATATGTGACACGGCGAGTCTTTGCTATATCTTCCTGTCTCCTTGGACCTTTTTCACCGAGAGTTTGGTAAGGAATCATCATATTGGGGAGGTTGGGGTTAGTGCCTAAGGAATCCATGATTCTACGAATGGTCTGCTCCTCTGTAAGAAAAAAGAAGAAGAACATTAAAATCGCATCTTCAAAGTAGGGTGTGGAAATATTATTTCAGAGCATCAGAATACTGTTTACATTGGTTTTTCTGAAAGCAACCTATGTCAGTTTTTTTCTCAAAAAAGATAGATAAAATATAGAGGACTGATAAATAAATAAATAAATAAATAAATAAATAAATACACCAATGGATAAAATAAATCAACTTTTTAATTTTTTTTTAATTGAACAAAGTGCACTTAGTCCACCTATATTACCTTGTATGCCTGCTTTCTTCAAATATCTGTGAAGAGATGCCACCACTGGTGCATGTCTGTTATCAAGCTCTGGATCAATGACCTGGATCACAGATATAGAACCACACTCATTATCATGAATAGACCTGATGATATTCAAGAAGTACTTTGTCACAAATTAATGAAAAATATGAAATAACATATATTGTCTTCAAAAAAAAAAAAATGTTAAACTTACCCCATCCTGTATTTTCTTCTCTATACCAATACCATTAAACATATCTAATACTCTTCTTTTATCTGAAATAAATAAATAATAATTATAATAAAAGCTATGTGTATTTTGATCTTTGTCAGGAGCTGGTCAGGTTTGAGATTCTTGGTCTTTCAGTAAAAAAAACTGTTATCATACTTTTATTAACAAAACAAAACAAAGCAAAAATAAATAAATAAATAAATAAATAAATAAATAAATAAATAAATAAAATAATAATAATGTAAACATCACATGAAAAAATGAGTCACTTTCATTTTGTATTGTTACAAAACAAAAATATGAGATAAACATCAAATGAAAAAAACAAGTTACTTTCTTTTTGTATTGTAACTATTCATTAGGTTTAAGCTTCTTAGTGGTTTTTGAGTAAAAAACTCTATCATAATACTTTTATTAACAAAACAAACAAAACAAAAAAAATGATGTAAACATCAAATGAAAAAAATGAGTCACTTTCTTTTTGTATTGTTACAAAATGAAAATATGAGATAAACATCAAATGAAAAAAATAAGTTACTTTCCTTTTGTATTGTTACTACGGTAATGTGCCATGAATTTCGAACAGTAGAAAATAATTAAATTTGGGAAAAGATCGTTCTGGCCGAAATTCATGAAATGGAGGTGCTCAGAATTTCCGAAAGTTCGAATTTCATGGAATTCTGTCAATTTTGACCGGAAGTTGACTGTTCGTCGCTAGGCCTTCTGTTATCTTCTCCCGACGATCTNGAAAAAACTCCAGGCGGCCGATTTTAAGAGCCGTTCGAAATTTAAGAGCCGTTCGAAATTCATGGCACTTTACCGTATTATGCATAGCTGTTAGTGGGCTTTCAGTAAAGAAATTCTATTATCATACCTTTATTAACAAAACAAAAGATATATGAGATAAACATCAAATGAAAAAAATTACTGTTTCGCAAATTGCATATTAGATTTCAACCATAAGTTGTTCATTGAAAAAATAGTTCCTATGTGTACCTTTATCATTGGTCAGTTTAAGCCACGCCTCTGCTGCTTGAGCCTCTCGAGGGGGTAGAAGCTCTTCAAGTTGCTAAAACGTTAACAAACCAGGTGAATACTAGCATATTTATAAACAAAATGTGAAATACATTACATGCATAGTCGAATTTAATATACATAATTTTTTTTTCATTTTTCCTGATGTGTTTTTCAGAAGGATTTTTGTCAATGAAAACAAAAAAACTAACTAATTAATTACATTTCTTTACAAATAAATAAATTAATTAAACGGAATATTTTCACTGATATAGTCATCATAATACATTATATAATACAATTTATCAGTTACACTTACTTAAGGTTTTCAAATTTATAAAAATTAAATTTAAAAAGTATAAAATAATTTTTTAAAAATTCACCTCTCTATCTGCGTACTGTCTTAGAGCTGCTGTAGAAGTTTTTGGCGTGAACTTGGCTCGGAATTGGGAGCGATGCTGCTTTTCACGAGGAGATAATCCTGCACTGCCGTCAACTGTTAATATTGTGGAACACAAATATTACAATTTGTGTATACATTTAATGCTTAATCCTTAAAAAATCTGCTTAATTTTTATTTAAATTTCAAGTAAACTTATTAAAAAAATAAAAATTGACTTATAATAAACAGACCTATAGCCAGGCGGGGTTCGGGGGGTTCAAAAGAACCTCCCTTTTCGCTGAGAAAAAGTCCATCTGTGTATATTTGATTTAGGTAAACTTAGGTTTCATGACAAAAGGTCCACATTTTCAGAAAAAGAACCCCCCTTTTGCAATTGCTGGCTACAGACCTGATAAAAATACTCCTACTTAAGTTTGTTCTTGTTTGTGTACCTCCGTGGTTTTAATTTGTCAGTTCATTTGTTTACATATTCATTCATCTCACAACAATAAAGATGCATTTATATTTCACATGAATAAAAACAAGTATTGTTAAAAAAAAAACAGTGGAATGGGGTAATAGTGTGTAAAATGCAGTACAGATAGTTGACTAAGAATATTACTAGGTATATATTTTAAACACAAAAACTATTCACCTCTGTAAACTTCCTTTCCTAGAGTGGCATCAGCATTGTGATAACCAGGGACATGGTGAAGACGACAGGTTAAGAACACTCTGAAAATAATAATAATAATAATATGTGTTCATTCTTATGATATTCTAAACTCAGGTGAATATATTAACAATGGGATATGAGTTTGTTTTAAAACACTTTTGTTGTATATTAATGCTCATTATACGTACTGGTGAGCTTTTCAAAACCTGCAGAATTGAATAGAACTTGGAATTAATAACAACCTGTGAAACCAGATTACTTTTAGTTGAGCTTAATTAGAATTTACATGGATATTGCTTTTATGTCGTATTATGCTCTTGAATCCACAACTAAGCTGATTACTTACAGTAAAATTGATTTCAACCAAGCATATGCTACTACATGTATTACAGATTACTAGTAGTTTAGTTAAAATGTACCAAGTTATACGTGAAAGGGGTATTGACTATTGTTTTCCAATAATAAGGTAAACCTCAGCAACAATCAAAACAGGTGTACAAAGGATATTGCTAAAGCAGTGTTTGTTTTCATAAACAACTCAAATGTGAAATAAATATAATAACGAGGTATTTGATACAGAAACAATTTTTTAACCAATTTTTGGGTATTTTTCCATATATATTTCATTTTATGTCAAAACTTTTTTTATTTAAACGGCTTATGATAAAATGATAATAGTACTGTCTTGATATTTATGACAGATAAATCATCATTGTACCTGGCATGTACATGTATATATGAAATCTGATTTAGAATTATGATTGATAAATGTACTAAAGATGATCAAACCGGACAAAGAAAATGGCACCTGTTGATTGCTAACCTGAAGATAATCTCGTGAAATTATTGTATTATTCAACTTCTCATTTCCTTTTAATAACAATAATATTATATAATAATTATCATTTATGAGAATATTTTTTATATTTTTTCTACATATATTTTATTTAAAAAAAAGTCCTAGTTTCAATCTTCTGTCCCTGTAGGCAGGTGTAGTAACAGTATTTTCAATGTTTTACCTTTAATAATTATATAAATAGATGATCGCAGGGTTTATTGTATATGTATAGTATTTAATACTTACAGAGGTGGGTGGGGGTTGTTTCTTCTATGAGCTGAGGTAGGACGGCTCGACGTGGGTTCATCTGAAATCTTCTCGTTATGAAAAGAGTTATAGGTGGTGGGAGAGCGGTCTGGCTTTGACCACTCGTACCTCGCTCTCTCCTTTATGGATTCTAAGGACTCCACGGGCACTGTGGGGCTTAAGCTAGCGCCACGCGCTCTCCTGGCGTCTAGTGGATACGCTGACTGGACCAGCCGAAATCTGGACACTGGGTCGTGATATCCTGGCATAATATGTGCCGATGCCATGCTTACTATCTACTCCCAAAGTCCAATGATTATTTTTAATAAATATATTGTTATTGTAACAGGAGTCCTCTTCGATGTAATCTACTTTCACTGGTGCTGAATGACATTACACTACATTGTTTGGGTTCCGCATGGCAACAAATGGTACCCGGAAGCGATACTTAATTGAACTGAGACTGCGCAGATAAACACAACATCGGCCACCAAGCGGCGGTGATTGGTACTAATACAGGTGCGTCGACTTTTTGGCTCTTCGCACTTAAATCTAATCTCCTGTATATTCACTGAATGATTAATCTGAAAAAATCTAAAACTCGTTGGTTTATAAACAGATTATTTTTTTTACTTTATACTTTTTTTGCATTATCATTTTTTATTTTCACCGACTGTACAAATTTTAATTGTAAAAAATAATTGTAGTGACAACTCGTATTCTGATCAACCATGCATTTTTTGTACTAAGTCACTAATGGAATAAGTTTACTGGTAGTGATCTTGACGCAAATCAGATTTAAATCTGACATATCGAAGTCCTTTGTAACAACTAGAAAACAGGCGAGAACCCCTGGAAAGATAGAGCGGCAGAGGTAAACAGTCACCTCGAGTGTGTTTGTTGAGATTCCATACCCCAGTGGTGACTGTCCACATCTCAACTAATGCAATGTATTGGATGCGCTGCTTATTACTAACCCTATATCAACAGACTACAGGTATCTGACGTTATGAATGTGGTCATTCGACAAACCACTTTAAAAAAACTTGTAAGAAAATTCGTCAGGACTGTTGATTCTTTAAAATAGTTTAGTGACTCAGAACAGAAGTATAATTATGCTACATAAAAGAAAATTTAGAAAACGTTTTTTCCATTATTTTCTGTTATTAAAATATGACGTTTTCCCAAAGGTTGGGAAGCTAAACTCTCACACAAGTATCACTGCAGTGAAAGGAACACTGTAAGATTTTAAACACAAATTTCAAAATTCTTGTTGAACATATCTAAGAACAATTAATACTTTTTTTCATCATTTTTAACAAAAAATGCCTTGAATTTATGTTGCCAAAAACATTTATTTCATGACATCCTGACAAATCTCCTTTCTTGTCAGCCATCTTGAAAGTTTTGAATGGCTCGCAACCTGGAGGTCAGTGATGGCCTAATTTGAAAAACCCACACCGAATTATTTGCTGAGGACTTTAGAATTTTCCTGGTGAGGGTCAGGAGAGGTGGATGAAAGTTTGGTTAGTTGGAGAAAAGTATCATTTTTAACCCCAAAATTTGATAAGTCTCAACTTTTTTGTGAGAAAATATTGTGCTGGTCACTTTTAACCCATTTCCTGAAGATCATCTTTACTGCACTTGTGCTTTTATCAAACAATTTCTCCAACACAAGCTTCAGCATTAAACTTAGAAATTGTGAGTTGTTTTTTTTTTTTTTTTTTACTTCAAAATCGCTTCAATCCCACAGTAGTGACAATTTTACAATGTACTTAAAACCAGACCCAACGTAAGTTTCTTCACCCATTTGCGAAGCAACAACTCATTGAAAACAAGGCCTTTAATTTTTACTTTCCACTTTTAATCAAAAGAACAGAAATACAGATCTTACAATTAGTAACATATTCTTCCACCAAAGCGTAAAATAGCTGCCTCGTCTTACAAATTTCTATCTGCTTATATTGTTTACGCCAACTGTGGACCACTAGAGGGGAAGAAGATTGTACTACTTTCCACAACATAATAATACCGCACTCTTGCCCTGGTGCTGCACGAACAAGATCAGTCACTACTTTATTATGCTACAAAGGAAGATACAGTCTTTAGACTAATTCTTATGTTCTTTTGCTTACAAGATTTATTACGTGTGCCCATCACCAGTGTTACATTTATCTACTGGCAAGATAAATATGCTTTGAATAACTTTTTTTTTTTACAATGGCAGTTCTCCAGACTCTTATCATGCTGTTGTTAATTCATCAATGACAGCATTTCTTTTCTTAAAGACAAACACTGAAACACGAAATGTTATTTACAAATGTATCTTACAAAGAGCATTTTTCTTTTCGCCTTATAATACGTATATTACTAAGGTGTCCTTAAAAGGGAAGGTCCCTCCAGAAAATGCAGGTCATACAAGGATGATTGATGTCATCGTTAATGTTGTTTTAATATTAAGCAGTAAATATATCTTACACATAAATAATAAGCAATCCCCTTTAACTCAAAAAAAGTACAGGATTACAAATATAAAAGCTTCATTAAATGCCTTCATAGATGGTTCATTATCTACTTCTTACATCCCGTATAAACCAGTTTCATTTCCTGATTATTTTGCCTCACTTTTTACTGTGTGTTAAACGTCAAAAATGCTTTTCAAATTAAAAACAATAAAGAGATTTCTTTTTCAATACTTCACACTTCTCATAAAAAGCACATTCATCTACTTCTTGCAGAATTCATACTTCTTGTACCGTGTGTGTTTTGGTTACAAAATAAGTAATTTTCAGTCCCAAACGTAAAGTTATTTTCGCTCTACTCATCATTAAGTACACACGTGCGGACCAGCAGCTCCGTAACTATGTATGGATCACAGTTGGAGGCTGGTCGTCTGTCTTCCAGATATCCTTTGCCGTCTTCTCCGACCTGGCGAGGGATACGGATGCTGCAGCCACGGTTGGCAACACCGGCCGAAAAGTCGTCGAAACTGGATGTCTCATGGAGCCCTGTCAGACGGCGTCTGTTGTCCTGTCCGTCTTTAGGATCGTACATTCTGATGTGCTTCTGGTGATTTTTTGACAACCTCTCAATAGCATCTTCAATGACCCTGAAAGAAAATAATAGGGGCATTAATCTATGTCTTGAAAATATCAAACAGGTGATTTAATTGGCGTTAGTCTTTAAAAGTATCTAACAGTGGCTCAAAACTGCCATTTTACAATTTCGGATATTTAAAAATAAACTTGTTTAAGAAATATTGAATATTACATCAGACCATATAAAAGATAGAAGTATTATTTCTTTTAAATAATTGAAATTGTTCCTAAATGTAAATAATTCAAAATTTTGGGCTTCTTGTTTTTAAAATTATCCACACTGTATTAAAACAAAAATGTGACCTTGCCATTTCATAGATGCACACAGACATAATTTTTTAACATGGTAGCAGCTTTTTGCTAGCATTGTATGCAGCCAATATATAGCCAAATCCACAATAAATCCTTAACAACGCAGAGTATTGATTTTTCTGATCAACCATTATATTGCACATGGAACAACAGGGTCAACTTCTATTTTTGTACTTGGACTTTGAACATACTTTAATGTCCACAGAGAGTAATGGAGAGTGGTTGATTACTATAACAGTCTTGTGCAGTGGACCATGCTAAATTAAGACTAATGTTTCCAGGAAAAGTGTTTATTTTTCTTCCCAGTGCAAAGACTTTTAAGTGCACTGGCAGACACAGAATACCAAGAAGAGGGGAGGGGGGAGGACCCCTTTCTTAATCTTCCTATCAGTGTACGTAATTATATACATCTACAACAGTCAAAATCTCCAAAGCTTGCTTATCTAAAGAGCCCACAAAATGCCCAGATGAAATGTTGTTCTCAGATTCACCTCTAAAACAGCTGGTAAAAGAAGGAAAACAAATGACTGCCCACAGTAAACAGGAGATCCACGTGCTGACCTCATACCACCAGTCTACAGCCATCCATATTGACCACAGTTCCCAACAACTTGTGATGACTGCACTCGTACACAACCTTCATGTATTTTCATAACAAATAAACAAGGTAACAGTGGGAAATTACAATAACAGCAACTTGTAGGAGAAAGATGATAATTTTCTAGCGGTCATGTGAGGTGGAGTTTTGTTAGCTATTACAACAGTCGGCCAAACACGAGTTGAGTTAGGTTGGCTGCAAGGCCATGGTCAGCTGTTGTTTACGTGCTCAGACTATTATTACTTGGTTGCCATCTAAGGTGACATGTTTTTTTTCTAGAATGCTTTTCCAAAAATAAATCCTTTCATAGTGTTTTTAAGATTTGGGGTTCAGATATGAGCGGCTTGCTTCAACATTTTTTATTATTTTTTTTTAACAGGGATTATGCTGATAATTGTTCTGAAATGCAGTACCATCCAGGCCATTCTTATATCCAGGTTCTACTTGTCACATAGAGATCAAGTTCACAGATCCAGGCAATTCACACACTTGATAATCAAATCACTTATCAAGATCCATGTTTAGAACTCTACACTTCACCTTGTCCATATACAGCACCTCTTCAACCTAACCTTTACCATTTAAATAAGATCTCTCAACTATCATTTCTTCTCTATATTTACAATCACTTCAGTCTGTTTGCAATAACTGATAACTAAAAGGAATAATTGACACCAGGTGTCTCGACCAGGGCGACCCTGCACAGGTGATAAAACACAGGGGAGGTGACACCTTTAGCCTGCTAAAGATAGCCCGTCCACCCAACTACCACTCAACTACTAGACTACCCACTCAACTATAGTCGCTAGCCTGGATGTTAACTGGTGTATGCCAATGACCTACTACCACCTTTGTCAGTTTCTAATCAGGACAACTGAAAATAGCTCCGTTATAGAAACAGGTCATTGACTTTTTGCTAACGACTCGTTTTTTGCAATGGAGAAAAAACGATCAGTCTTTCAGATGCATAATTTAGAAATCTTTAAAATACATTTCTGTGTGCTGGAGCTTTTAATGTATAAAATAAAACTATACTGTTGCAAAATTTTTAGATTTCTTCCAATTACTCCACACAAATGTTGTGCTTTAAAAATGTCTGACTTGACAAAATACGCTATCTGTAAAATTCCCAAATTCCCTACTGAAAAGATTGAATCGTTACCGTATATTATCTGGGTCACATCACAGCAAGTGATCATACCTACGCCTAATGCCACCTCCCTAAAGCATGCTGCAAACAAGAGTTATTTTTTAATTTATTTTAAACCCTGGATCAATATTTTGAGAGTTTGTCCAAAGGCAATTTACTGGTACTGTTATCAAATCAGGTGCTCCCAAGTTTAGGTATGAGATGATAAATTAACTCTAAAAAAAGTGCTGTCCTGCTTTCTAGTCCACATTAGGGTATTACTTCCT